TAACCATGCAAAAATATTGGCTTCATCTCTATTTTAAAATAAAGGGTTGATTCCTCTGGTAGCAATATCAAAAACTGCAAATACGAGTGCATTTCCTTGGTTTTTGCTACCTGTTTCAAAAATATTAATTTTCTCAACAACGAAACAATATTTTGCAAAACCCATCCGTAAGTTTTTTCATGCCGTTATGACGAATGTAACCATGCAAAAATATTGGCTTCATCTCTATTTTAAAATAAAGGGTTGATTCCTCTGGTAGCAATATCAAAAACTGCAAATACGAGTGCATTTCCTTGGTTTTTGCTACCTGTTTCAAAAATATTATTTTTCTGGGTTTGAGATTTACGTTCAGTTTTTAAAATGTAGACCGTTTTTTAAAATCTTAAATTTTAATTTTTTTAAAATTTTCAACCCTCAGAAATTTGTTGGAAGGCTAAAACACACATATTCTGATTCAGCTCTATCGATCCATGTAAAAATATCGAAAACTAAAATGCGCTCAAGTTTTGAATTTCCGACGCCTTAAGTATAGAGATTTTTCTTTGAAGCAACAAAAAACCGCAATTTATCTATCGCTCAAACGAATTCACGCATATTTTTTGTTTAAACTCAAAAAATTGATTTATTTTTGACTTAGTTGTTAATCAAATTTTTTTCCTAAACGTTTACTTATAATTCAACTGACACCACTATGTCTAGAAGAAGTTTTCTCCCGGTAATAAATCAATCATAAGAGTTCCTCATATGTGAGATGAGAGAGTTATCTTTCACTACTTTTCCTTTTAGTAATACTTTATTTTGAAAAAAATTTCTGTTTTTTCTGTTATCAGTTACTGAATCTTCTGATAAGACAGATGAACAACCTATTCGAATTAAAATAACATCGAGTACATCTCAAAACGAACATGACAGCACCACTACAAGATGCAAAGACACTCTGTTGACAACTGAAACAGCTTCTGATTTACTTGGCGCCAACCTCAAAAAAGCGTTCAAGTGTGTGATTGAAAAACATCATGAGATTCAAATGGATCAGTCCGATTTGAAAATACTATTGAAACAAAAGGAATTGCGTGAAACAGCGAAGTCAGTCAAATCTACCAAGCGTGACTTCAAGGTGGCCAAAGTAATGGCTAAGAATATTAAACAAATCAACAAATACTGTTCTATTCGATTCAAAAATAACAGATTTTCTGAATCAGTTATTCGTAATCGAAGAAACGCATTATTAACAAGCGGTGGCTTTTGTTCTTTCAAAATGTGTCCTTTTAAGTTTGTTGTTCATGTAAAAGGAAATGGAGAAATGATTATGGATTGCACAGGAGCCATTATACACACAGGAACTGCATTTCACGCCAGACCAATACGTCGGGATGAGCGTCAAGTATTACATGATGAATTAGCTATGAGTGCCAGCGCAACTGGAATGTTTAATAAGAAGTTGTTAGCCACACCACAAGATGTTCTGAGCGCTCGTAATTTGGATGATGTAGGGAAAAATTCCAAAAAATTATCGACTCAAAAACTCTAGCTAGAGAAATTTCAAGTTTTTGTAATTCTATAGGGCTATTTTAAAATGCGATAAGGTTATGCCATAAGGTAAAATGCCATAAGGTCATCAATCAGAGTATTATCAAATGCTCTATACCCAACATTTATGTATTACTTCATTATTTGAGATAAAATGGCGCGACCAAGCTAGGGCTGTTGAACCATAACCTTATGGCACTTTAAAATAGCCCTATGGAATAAGTTTTTCTTATATCTCATCACTAATAACGAACAGAATTCATTACGTTATAGGTTTATACCATATTTTCTGATTAGATTTTCCTATTTTTTCGAGTTTGGCGTCACCAGGAATGGCGACGAACTTTTGACTGAGTGACGCAGTTATGCCTTTTGACTCTTCTTATTCTGTATTATTTTATAAAATAATGAAGTAATATATGAATGTTGGATATACAACACTTAATAAAGCAGAAAAGTGTTTCCGCTTAGGCCTAGAATGACTTTGTCAAACTTGATTTCAGTTGAAGCTGTTGGAGTATCTCTGCAGTTACACTAATTTCTCCAAATGATTGGCTGTAAAAAAGTTTTTCAGCTCGTTCATTCTCTCTCACGAACCAGAAAGAATACACACAAGAATATGGCCTGTTGCGTTTACTAAAAGGAAACCGGTCAAACAAGCCAAGAAACTTCTCTGAAAACAAATGTACCACTATAACGAAATACCGCAAATGGTTTGCGGAAGCGTCCGGGCCGTGTTCGCGCAAGAGTCGCTAAGAATTTAATCAAGAAACGGCGCGTTTTCTGTATACTTTCTAAGAAGGAGATCGTCTTAGCTGCCTGAGGAGAAACCTCGGACCTTTTCTGGTCCTGTGCTTTTCAGTGTTCTTCAGTTGAAAAAATGGATACCTTGCACAAGAAATCAGGTATTTTCTATGTAAAATTCCGCCAGAGAAATAAAACAATAAGATGATAAAAAAGAACGATAAAAAGAGCGCCGATGAACATTTCTGACATACATTTATGGACAGAAGGCAAAGACAAAAAAAGCAAAAAGACAGCGTGTGTCCTTTATGTATCGTTCTTTTTTGTTCTGGCGCAGCTGAAACATGTATCTTTTTTGACCAAAGTTTTTATATTTACTTTTGTTGCTACAGGCCTAATAGAATCCAATGGTCAGCTATTACGCAGATATAAAAAGAATTTGCCAACAAAAAATATTTTTCATTCGTCTCATTAAAAAGCATGTAATTTACTGGTGTTTTTAAAGCTAAATATAATAAAAGTTACATTCAGTATTACATCATCACTCGATCTAGGCCGTCTCCCTCTCTCACTGCATGTAGATTAAGGTCATCGTCTTTCTTGCTGTACGATGATTAGCTTAGCAACTTTAGCAACTTTGGTCAAAAAAGATACATGTTTCAGCTGCGTCAGAACAAAAAAGAACGATACATAAAGGACGCACGCTGTCTTTTTGCTTTTTTTGTCTTTGCCTTCTGTCCATAAATGTATGTCAGAAATGTTCATCGGCGCTCTTTTTATCGTTCTTTTTTATCATCTTATTGTTTTATTTCTCCGGCGGAATTTAACATAGAAAATACCTGATTTCTTGTGCAAGGTATCCATTTTTTCAACTGAAGAACACTGAATAGCACAGGACCAGAAAAGCCACGAGGTGTCGCCTCAGGCAGCTAAGACGATCTCCTTTTCAGAAAGTATACGGAAAACGCGCCGTTTCTTGAACAAATTCTCAGCGACTCTTCCGCGAACACGGCCCGGACGCTTCCGCAAACCATTTGCGGTATTTCATTATAGTGGTACATTTGTTTTCAGAGAAGTTTCTTGACTTGTTTGACCGGTTTCCATTTAGTAAACGCAACACGCCATATTCTTGTGTGTATTCTTTCTGGTTCGTGAGAGAGAATGAACGAGCTGAAAAACTTTTTTACAGCCAATCATTTGGAGAAATTAGTGTAACTGCAGCGATACTCCTACAGCTCTTGTATTGTTTTTGTGAGTTTAGCCTGGTTCTAAAACACGTTAGTAGAGATAATAAGGACCAGTCGAATTGAGAAGGTACGCTATTTTAAAAGTTAGAAAACCGAGTATTTGAATTACTTTGGTGACAAAATAAAACCGTAAAAAGTAGTATACATTTTGTTTAATAACGTTTCTGGCTTATCTCATTTACTTGGTCCAGAGAAGGATGAATGAACTGATATAATAGAGGGTCATTTGTCTACAGATTTTTCTCTTGTTCTTTTATGTTAGAAGGCTG